CGGTATTGGCCACGTTCAGGCAGGCACGAGCGAGCAGCTTGCGCTCTCGTTTGGTCTCGATGGACACTCTGCCCCCAATGATGGTATGGACGCAGTCGGTTGGCTTGACGTACTTGTGATGGGGATCTGCATCTTCATCATCATTGTCCTCGTCACGCTGCTCCCCTGCGTCGTTAGGCTTGTCGGATTTATCCGGAGCCTGTTGGCGTGTATAGATGGATTTGAGAACACGGCAATCCTCCATGGTATGGTTTGACTTGGGATGGAGCTGGCAGGGTCCTTTCAATGCTTTGGTGTAGTCTTCTTCGTAATTGCGACGTCCGCCACCTTTTTTAACGATGTTGACTTCGCCGTCGTCTTCCCGAGCACGCTTGCCCCTGTAATCGTTACGGCGATTACGCCGCTGATTACACTGGTCGCGGTGGTCGCGGGAATCGTTGCGCTGGTTGCGGCGATCAAAATTGTCGTTCCGACCACGGTTGCCGCGGTAGTCGTCGCGGTGTGGAGGGTGGTCGGAGCGTAGAACCCTTGCTGCTTCTTTGACGGTTATCTTTTTAGCATCATCGGCATCCGCATATTTTTTAGTAGTGGCTAGGAGCGCTGTGACCGATTCTGGTCTCTTGCGGAGGAGCTTGTCCCTTAGGGCATCGTGGAAGCGGAGACCAGTGATGAAAGCCTCGATTGCCTCGTTGTCAGAGATTGACGGGACCTTGATGCGCATCTCCGAGAAGCGTCGGACGTACTCGCACAGTGGCTCATCTTTGCGATCTTGAATCCGCTGCAGATCATATTTGTTGCCGGGTTGCTCGCAAGTAGCAATGAAGTTGTCGATGAATGCTTGCTTGAGCACTTGCCAAGAATCAAAGTAGTTCGCCAGCAAGCTGACCAGCCATTGGTGGCCTGCATGGTCGACGGCGACTGGGAAGTAATTAGACATGACATGCTCATCAGCCATGGCTGATCTGCACGTGGTTTCATAGAGCATGACCCATAATTCGGGGTTCTCCTTGCCGTCGTACTTCTGAAGTTTTTCGAGCTTGAAGTTCTTGGGCCATATGACTTGTCGAAGGTGTGGAGTAAACTGCTTCAAACCTGGAGGGCCGTGGGTAGTATCATATTCCATACGGCGATAGCTTTCGTGGGATGCACGATCGTTGGCTCTTTGGTTAATGCGATCGCGCAGATCGCGTTCTCCGAGGGAATGGCGGAGATCGTTATTGCCATCACGGCGACCCCGATTGCCACCCTGGTTAACCCTGCGACCATGGTTATCACGGCGATTGTCATGGTTGTCTCGGCGGTTGTCATCCCGGTAGTTGCGGTGGTTGTCGTCCCGACCACCATCATGACCACCGTTTCCGCCTTGATGGTTGTCTGATGGGTCGTTGTTGCATGAGCCACGTTGGTTGGGTGGCTATGAGCGACTTGAGTACTGGCGGCTGTGGCTTGATTCGATTGAGACGGATGGAGCCCGAGCTTGATTCACAATCTCTGCGGTCTGGGCCATAGCAGCCGTCAGGTAAGCTTGTATATCATCATGAACTGCCTGGATTTCTGGGGTATTGGGTAGTCGTTGCATTGTCGCCATAGCAACAGCTACGTTGGCGCTTGGAGTCCTAAAGACCTGCTTGTCCCCCACCCTGTCAAAGGCATTGTTAAGGTCGCGTGGCTAGACCCGTATGCGTCGTGCCTCCTCTTCTGCCTCGGCTTTGACTTGTCGGCGATTAAACCGATCAATATTGCGTGCTTCGCGTGCCAGCCTTTCTTGTTCTGTTTCAGCAATTACCGGTGGTTCGTCATTACTGACAACATTGATCAAGTCTCCTCGCCTTGGTGGGAAGGATGGGAATCGTGGGAACCCCGAGGCGTGGTCTGGGATATCCAGATCGTATTCAACGCCTTCATTGTCATGATGCTGGAGCTCGGTGTGGACGGAGGCATTAGATGCGATGTCGGACGGGGAGCTTAAGCCACCCTCTTGAACTGTGTGGACCGATCCTTCTTGATACTCCTCAATCCGGACCATGTTGACGAAGTTGCGCAGGCCATAGGGCTGAGCCTGGTAGTTCTGCATCGAGGCTTCATACTCGGAGAGCCGGAGACCCGTCGCAGGGGCTGGCCGGCGACGAACGGAGTGCCCTTCAGGAGTAGATGTGACCACGAGATCCGTACCGAGTCGTGCAGGACGACTGGCCCGAGCTGGTCGGGTAGATCTGTTGTGGGTAGTGGTTACCTGCTCATTAGGTTGACTTTGAATCGAACTTACCAGAGCTAGGGTTTCGGCAAGTTTGGTGCCGACCTGGTCGATGGAGTCGAGCAGGTCGGTGTTGTCGATCTGCCTCCCTTTGTAGCGAGGAAGCGGACGACGGGTTGTCGGCGTGGCTGAAGACGATGCTGGCGTGGCCAGAGCCAGATCCACCGTGGTCGGAGCCGTAGCTGATGCAGATGAAGCAATGGTCGACGCAGATTGAATCCGCGCCTCCTCCATGGTCATGGCGATGAAGTCGTCGAAGCTAGTGGTCCAGGTGATCTGGCCGATGGTGAACGTGAGGCCGTTCGGCGTAGCCATGGAACCGGGGATGATGACCATCTTGTTCGTCTGGAGAGCAGTACACACCCCCCCTACATGGCGCGCCACTGTCGACGAAATATGGTCGGCAGTCTACCTAGAGGTATGCCCAAGGTAGTAGATTATTGGCAGACAGATGCGCAAGCTATAAACAAGATGGTGACGCAAGACAGACACGAGGTTTTATCCAGGTTCGGCCGCCGTGAAGGCGTAATACCTACGTTCTGCGTCTGATTGTATTGTTGTATGTCAATGAGAGATGTTTTTGAGAGGGGTCCCCTACCCGCCTTATATAGTCTGGGGGCAGGGTTACAGATATGAAAACTAATCCTAACCAGTTACAATTGCCATAGGTGGCCAGATAAGGATTCCTATTCTAACCAACCAGGATCTTGCTTGACCTCCAAATCTGGCTTGATTCCTTGCGCGGGACTCCGAACAGATTGGCCGAGCCGCGCGTAGTCTTCTAATGGGCCAAACCCCCTGGTCCGGGCCGTCCCAAGCCTAGCCATAAGGGTATAGGGTTTAATACCCCACAGCTACTGAATATACTCTCTCTCTCTCTCTCTCTCTATATATATATATATATATATATATATATATATATATATTCATCGAGTACATATATAATAAAATTTGGATAAAATTCGAGTAGTGTTTATATCGCTACATGATATATATTTGGGTATTTTAGGTTTTAAGGTCCCATGTTAAAAAAGGGACTCCTAATGTTTGATGTTCCAGCCATCTAGTTTTGAGATTATTGCTCAGATTAAATCTAATTTTATTTTATATAAAAAGGGTTTTATTCTGACGTAAGCTATTTTTTAATGCACAACTGTTATTATAAAGAAAAGAGGTTAGACCAATAAGTAACATCAAACTATGTGTACAATAATTAAAGTTCTAATACAACTAACTATATTTTTTTTTATTGGAACGAGGGACGAAGAGTCCTCACCTGACTATATTACCATAGATGCCGGGTAACTAACTATACATATAGCAGTGTAAAGAAATGCAAACGGTTATTAGGACAGTCTAGATACTTAGATCCAAGCCAACGCTTGGCGAAATGGCGAACCATAGTAGAGACAAATACATGCATACTCACAATGACGGAGCCAGAAAAAAATTATAGCTGGGGCGAGTTTTAACATGAAAATAAATAAAAAGACTTTTGGTCTAAATCGCAAAGTATTAACATACTACAATCATACAAATTATGACGAAAAAGCTACAATCATACAAATTATAATGGAAAGGTGGATGAACAATACAAGATATTACCTCAAATTTGCAGAATAAATTGATAATAGTTCTTGACTAGATATCCCATACATTTTGTAAATACAAAATACTTAGTAGGTGTGAACCCGTAAATGTTATGAAAATCAATTAGCCAATAACAATAAAGTGATTGTATCCCTAGCGCCAGGTTCTTGTACCCCATCACGCCCCTCCTCCCTTCATCGCTATCTCGGCAGCTCATGCTCCTCGGCGGGCTGCTCCTGGCGCCGGCCGGCGGACACGCGGTGCTGCAGTGGATCGGCCAGCCGGAGGCTGGCCGCAGACGCTGGCTCCTAGCGGTAGCTGACGAGTGGGGATGCGGCGACCAGCGAGTGGGGTAGCAGCAGGAGGCAATCGGCGGCCGCCGGCTCGCGTCACGTAGATGTGGATGACGGACAAGCGACGGAGTAGCGGATGGCTGTTGGGGGATTGGGGATTTGGAGAACCAAATTGGGCCCTTGCTGGGCTAATCTGAAGTGACCAAAATGAGCCCAGTGCCCAACAAGAGGAACCAGTCATCTTCTTCTATCGGATATCGCCGCTCGCAGTTCGCTCGTCGTTCATCGCCATGTCGCGGCCTCTGCTCGGCACCTCGGGCAATCGGCAGTCGGACCTAAGGAAGAAGAGGAGTCTAGGGGTCTGGGACGCCGCCGCCAGTAGGTGGGGCGGCCGCCCCACCACGCCCCTAGGGTAGCTCCGTCGTTGCATACTCACTGGTCATTGATAATCTGTTGACTACGTCCTGGTCCTATAAAAACCACCGAGATTAGATCAATATATTTTAAGATTGACGAAGTCATAAAAAACCGTTTCGCTATCGACAAATGCATGTCACCTACACCACTGAAAGCATAATTAGCCAAACACACACACACATGCATAGTGAGTCAAGAGACTCGAAATTGGATGGACAGGCACCATTCTAGGAATCTAACTGAAATGGTTCTTGTGAACACGAATATGCTATGTACATTTTGGTTTGAGAGAGGGTATATCTTCACATGTGTGGAAATATCTATACATGCATGTAGGAGTATGCCTCCAAGAATTGACATTCCAATTTACTCTGGCCATCACCATCACCACCCAATAATAATATCATGGATCCCAAAGAAAAGAAAAGAAAAGAAAAAAAGATGGATCATGAGCTGATTGCTGCTCCGAGAGACATCGAGCCTAGCCTAACTCCGAGGAAGCCGAGGTAGATGAGGAGGAGGCCCACCCCAAGCACCCTGTCCAGCCGCATCCCTCGCGCGGGCAGCACCACGAGCGCCCACACCAGCCCGGCCGCAAGGAATCCGGCCGCCTGGTACGCCGACGCGTCCGCCGGGATCGCGTACGGGCGCGGGAATCGGGCCCCGGCCGCCAGCGTCAGCGACAGGCCCAGGCCCACCACCGTGTTGAACGCCGGGCCCGCGTAGCAGCCCGACACCGCCGTCTGGGCGCCCCCCGGCCCGCCGTGCATGGCCATGGCCACGTCGGCCACCAGGTCCCCCAGCGAGTTCCCCCACGCCAGCACCGTCGCGCCCAGCACGCTCGCCCGCACGCCGGCGACGAGGCCGATCGAGACCAGCAGTGCCACCAGCTCCCGCGCCAGCATGTAGGACCACAGCACCGACATCAGGAACCCGCCGGCGAGCCAGGGGAGGCGCTGGCACCGGCCCAAGGGCGGGGACGAGGACGACGTACCGCGGAAGGCGGCGGTCGCGAGGATGGCTCCCACCACCGCGCCCGAGAGGATCACGGCGGGGCTGGAGGGGGACGAGATCGCCGCGAGGAGGAGCGGGGCGAGGAGTGCGGACACCACCGCGTAGCGCTTCGACCACCGGTGCGCCGCGATGTCCGGGATCGTGAGGCGACGCGGCAGGTACAGCGGCCACTGGAGCGCGTCGAGGACGCGGCGCGCGAGGCTCCTGCTCCTCTGTGGCGCCGCGGTGGCATCGGCGTGCTTGGATGAGATGGGGAGTACTGGCGGAGGCGCCTCGTCGTCGTCGCCGCCGCCGCCGCTGCCGCCGTCGAGGAGGAGAGGCGCGGCGAGGTCGTCGAGATCGGGACCCGCGGCGACGGGCTTCGTCTTGCCGTCGTCCTCTGGGTCGGCGTAGTCGGGCGTGGCGGCCGCGCAGCAGTGGGAGGTCCAGACGAGGAGGACGTAGGCGGCGTAGAGGGAGAGGAACGACGCGGCGGCCCAGACGGTGACGGTGCCGGTGAGCAGGACGGCGAGGAGGTAGCAGAGCGCGACGAGGAGGAAGCAGACGTCGCGAACAAACCCGGGCCGCTCGATCTGGACGGGACCTCGCCCCCCCGCGACGATAGCGACGACGCCAGCCACGACGGTGGACACGAACAGCGCGCCGCCGAGGACGCTGCTAAGCCCGACGTCCCCCGCGTCGGCACCGTCCACCCCACCACCGGATGCGCCCGACGCGAAGGCGACGACGCTGGAGAGCACGTCGGGCGCGCCGTTGCCGAGCGAGAGGAGCGTGACGCCCGCGATGGCCGGCGGGAGGTGGAGCGCGGCGGAGAGGCCCTCAAGCGCGGCGCAGAAGTAGCGCGATGCGGTGTCCCCGAGGAGGTAGAAGAGGAGGAGCAGCCAGAGCCCCAGCGCGGCGGCGCCCAGCCACGGCGCCCCCCCGAAGCCGCAGTAGAAGACGCGCAGGTAGTGCACGTACCCTCGCGGCGCGCAGGGACGGTGCGACGGCGACGAGAGGTACCCGCACCGCGCCGCTGCGTCCGGCAGCGCCCGCAGCTCCGCCTCGCAGCTCCGCGACTCCGCCGCGGTGGTCGTGGGAGGGGCGGCGGAGAACGTGAACATGCCGATGATGAGGTGGGCGTCATCATGGTCGCCGCGCCGGGTGGCCGCGGCGAGGGCGACGAAGAGGAGGATGAGGAGGAGCGCCAGGAAGGCGGCGCTGGCGATGGTGGCCGCGGCATTGCGCCTGCAGTCGTGGAGCTTGCGCAGGGACGCCATGGGAGGCCGCACGGCAGGCGGGCACTGGGCAGTGAGTACGATGAGGAGCTGTGCTATGATGGCATGGGTGATGGATGGACCATGGACGGACGCAGTGAATTGGGAAGGAAATGTCTGCAACGACCTGCTGGTCCGTGGTCCCTCCCTGCTCTGCCTCTCGTGCGCCTTCTTCTTGGCCGGTCGGTGTGGGAGAGAGGGAGAGAGAGGAGTGAGTTTTGCTTCGTGCTCGTGGATCTCCAGAGTTCGTGTGGAATTTGGCAGGAAAAAATGGGGTGGGGACTGGGTAAAGTTTTCCAAACGGGGCAAGCCCGCTGGGCCGACACGAGCACGGTACGAATTGGCCCGGTACGAAAACGGCCCGGCCTGGCAGCTACCGTGCCTGGGCCGCGATGCCAGCATGATGGCACGGCACGGGCACGGCCCGCTTCAACGGCCGGCACGGGGGCGGCACGGCCTCGAGCCGTTGGATGGAGCCCCCCGCCTGCTGACCATTGGATCTAGGGGTCGGGTGTGACGGCTTTATAAGCCAGCCGCCGCTCCTGGCTCCCCACCTTTCCAAACCCTAGCTCATTCCGTCCCCATTCTAGCCGCATGGCCGCATCGAGCTCTCCCATCGACTGAAACCCTAGCCACTCCCCTCTCTTCTTCCCATCGTCTGGTGGCTGGTTAAGGCGGTGGTTGCTGGCACGGGCACACGACACGACCTTCTACATCACTCTTCCTTCTCCCTGACCGTCGATGTAGCTTTCTCGTCGAGATTCACCACCGTTCGTCTTCGTCTCTGTCTCATCGCTCTCATCGACCACGCCGGAGTCCGGCATCATTGGGGCTCCGCTCTGATGCGTTGAGGTACCAGGGTGTCGGGTCTCCGCGACGTCGTCGTCCCTGTTGTCTCTGGTGCTCCGTCAAGAGAGGTGAGCCGTAACCCTAGATCTGTTCGTTTTTGTTCTTCTTCTTGATTTCTTCATGATCTTCTATTAACCCTAGGTGTTCTTGTTGTTCTTGGTTTTGGTAGGCGTTGGCGTTGAGGGACCGGAGGCCGGCGACGACGAGATGTCGGACGAGCAGGAGGACATCGGTCTCTCCATGACCATCAACGACGAGCTGCGCCTCATGGGATGACCGGAGGCGACGAGGACGATGTCATTTGGGGATGCCGAGGAGCTCTTTCGCCGTCGTGGTTGCCGAGGAACTCTACGGCCGTACTCTCTGCTTGACCCACTTCCCGTCGACGACATCGACGCCTAACACCCCATGCCGGCGGCGCCGTCTCAGACGACGCCGCTGGCTGGCTGAGGCGGCTCCAAAGAAGAGAGCCTAACCGCCCTTCTACCTCAGTATGCTGGGAAGATTTTGAAAAGCTCACCAAGAAGGTAAATGGTAAGGTTGTCAGGTATGGCGCTCAGTGTCTTCACTGCCGTAAGGAGTATTCTGCGTACTCTAGATTTGGGACTGGCCACCTTCTCCGTCATCAAGACTCTTGCCCTAAGAAGCGTGAGAAATGTCGCATGGCTCAGTCCCACATTACTTTCAATAAGGACGGTACTATGCGTAATTGGGAGTATTCTACGGAGGTTGCTCGTGTTCAAATTTTGTTCGTTTGCTTGCTAGGTTAGATCTTCCCCTCTGTCTTGGGGAAGCGAGGCTGGGAAGATTACATAAAACCGCTCATAACCCTAGGTACAACTGTTTCTAAGCTAAGCAAATTACGCCTAGAGATCTTTTAAGTACTTCAATGAAAAGCGTGATTGTTTGATTGATGATTTGAAGAGTAATGCCATTTCATCTATTGCTATTACCTCTCGATATCCGGTGCGGAAACATAAAAGAAGATTATTTGAGTGTTGTTGGTCATTACATTAATGTTGATTGGCAACTTGAAAAAAGGGTGCTTGGCTTAAGGCTTATTGATGCATCACATAATGCTGATAACATTGCTGAACGTGTTAGTAATGTGCTTAATGATTATGGTATATTGAAGAAGGTTTTTTCTGTTACTTTGGACAATGCCTCTGCTAATACTAAAGCTATGGATAAACTAAAACCTGTACTTAGAGAGTATTTGGGTGCTGATCTGTTTTTGCATCAACGCTATGCTTGTCATATCATAAACCTGATTGTTAAAGAGGCTCTGGTTGCTATTAGTCCTATGCTTGATGCTTTCAGAACTGCTATATCATTCATTAACTCTTCTAACCAGAGAGTTGCTGCATATAAGAGCTATTGCATGGCATCTGGTATTAGACCTAGGAAGTTTGGATTGGACATGGAGGTTAGGTGGAACTCTACCTACCTGATGCTTAGACATTTGCTACCACACAAGAAAACTTTCCATACTTTCATTGAGTCTAATTATCCTAGAAAAAGAGGTGACCCCTTTCTTTTGACTCATGAGCATTTGGTTATGGCAACTAAAATACTGGAATTCCTTGAACTGTTTTATGACTCAACAGTTGCTTTGTCTGGTGTGTACTATCCTACTGCCCCACTTATGGTTCATCATATTGTTAAGATTGCTATACACCTGCATAGGTATCAAAATGATGAGCATATTAGAACTCTTGTCCAACCTATGATTGATAAGTACAATAAATATTGGAGAACCATACCTGAACTTTACTGCATTGCGTTTATCTTGGATCTAAGAGCTAAAATTAAATGTTTTAACAAAGTTCTTAGAAAGTTAAATTTGCTTACTGATGCTGATTATTCTAATAAGATGGTGGAAACTAGAACTCTTCTTTTCAAACTGTATCATTAGTATGATGATTTGTATGGCTCTGTTAGGGCAAAAAGGCCTGACCCTCCAAGCCTATCTGATAAGAAAAGAACAGCTTAGGCTGAGATATATGATGATGATGGTGGTGGTGGTTTGCTTGGAGCTGGCTGTTCTTCTCTTCCTCCTAATCTTGATATGTCCAGGACTATTCCTGCTACTACTTTGTTACATGCAGCAAGTTCATCTAACACTGGTTCTGAACTTTCAGCTTATCTGGACTGTGACACAGTTAGCCAGATGGATGATGACTTCAACATCTTGAACTGGTGCCATCAGCATAAACTAACATATCCAGTTCTTTCTACCCTTGCTAGAGATGTTTTCAGTGTGCCTGTTTCTACCATTTCTTCTGAAGCTACTTTTAGTACCACTGGCAGGATCATTGAAGACCGGTGGCGGAGGCTGAACCCTGAAACTTTGGAGGCACTCACATGCATCAAGGAATGGGAAGCTGCAGAGACAAGGTTACAACATATGGTGGAGGATAAGGAGCTCGAGGAGGCCTTTGAACAACTTTATTTTGATTAGTCATTTATGTAATGGTTCTGTAATCTTAAGACTTGGATGCTTTGGACCTTTGGTTGTGGATGTAATGAACAATTGAACTTATGGAGCTGGTTACACTCTTTTTTTCTGTCTAGGGCTTCTCACAAGGGTGAGTTTTACCTAGACAGGTTTTTAATGAGGCAGCCATTGCACAGCTCCTTTCATTTGGTATTTTGTTATCTCTGTCTTGTGTTTTCTTCTTTGTGATTTCAGATTCATCAGATTTCAAGTTTGTTTTTGAACTGTTATTTTGATTCTGATCTGTTGAAGTGGTGATGTTGTTTTAGTGCCAAGGCACGGCACTAGTCTGCTGGGCTGCCGTGCCCTGTGGCACGGCACGACACTATCTGAGGGCTTTAGTGCCGTGCCTGGGCCAGAGTCTAGGCACGGTGGCACTACACGGCACGGCACGGCACCGTGCCTGATAGTGCCGTGCCTTGTAATGCTAGTGCCGTGTAGTGCCAGTGCCGCCCGTTTGGAAAACTATAGGACTGGGGGTGATGGGGTGGAGATTGGAGAAGGACAAATGGCAGCTCACGAGGTCCCTAGCTGCTTGGAGGATTGCAGGAATCAGCTGAGGTCTCCTGAAGAGATTTGCTCTCTATCTCGTCTCCTGCAACCTCGCTCCATCATTCCCTGCTGTTCCTGATCTCGTTCCCATTTGTTTTGTGCTAATCCGTGCAAGATGATATATTGTGACTTGTTTATTGTGTTCTGCAGTTCTGGTGTGGCTCGTCAACTGACCACGTGTTCCTGAAGCTCCTCCTTCTCCTTCTCCTTCTCTTTCTCCTTCCACTGCATAGTTTGGTAGGTGAGTCACAGTCAGTCGCCGAGGCAGAGATAAAAATGGCTGCTTTCGGGACCATGGTGGCAGACTTGTTCGGAAGCCGGCTGATAAGCCGGGCTTATGCTGATTTATCGTGAGGAAAATACTGTAGACTCTGGCTGATAAGCCGATTGATAAGTTCAAGCGAACTGGACATGACGACGACAGGCAGCGCCCATGGAGGAACTCCTCCAACCGCTCTCGTGCTTGGGGAATTTGAGCGGCTCAGACGTTCAGGCAGGTGCAGCAAGCAAGCACCTGAAAGCTCAGTCCGGGCTCTCAACCTCTCAGAGGCAGAGGACGAGGCAGACGCAGAAGCAGATGGAGCTCCATTTGTCTTGCAACAGCAGTGGATGAGACGTAACGTAACTCGATCATGCTGCATTGGATCTATTTACAGCTGGGGATGGTCTCCATCACCAGCACTCCATGTGTAAAGGCACATACAACAAGCATGGTGCGCTTCATATACAGTTCTAGCTTCCTGATACCAGATCGAGAAAGGGAACAAATGATGCATGTGACCCTAGGAGAGGAGCCAGGAGCCCAGTGAAACTATTTGGTGGCAGGAATAAAGCCAAATAGCTCATGCCATCCAACAAATGAAAACTAGCTTCTGTGTCTACGAAAAACTAAAGTTGCATTCTTTCTTGGACAAGAATTCGGAGGCTAAAATTGCATGCTTTCTAGGACTGAGGGAGTACTTCTGAGCTTGTTTGGATGAGTTAGATCTAATTATTAGTTAAGGTTTAAAATCAGCTTAAGTTACCTGAATTTGGCCAGCTAGTTGGCTAGAGATTAGTTAGAAGCCTAGTTAAAAATTAGTCTACCTGTTAGCCCCCTGCTTTGATATATTGGAGCTAAAAATTTAGTCGGCTAACAATTAGTCTCACGATCGCCCTTCATCTTCCATCAAGAGGAGACAAAGTCAAGCCCCCATGGCGTTTTTTAGTTGGTGATGAATGAACAGCTCCCATGGCACCGGACCTGACAGACAAGCCACAGATCAAGTCGCGACTGCCACCGCTAAAGCAAGATTCAGACAAAGAGTGCAGTGACTGGGCGGCGGCTTCCGGCGGTCATGGTCCATTGCAGCGGTTGGAGCTATATCTTGGAGCCTAGCTAACACGGTAGCACGCGGCAGCGGCTCGACCTTCCCCAGCATGCCCATCCCATCCACTGCTGCTTGACTTTGGCCTCTAGCAGTAGCAAAGGTGAGTCATGGCTATGCTGAATTTCTTTTTAGAAAGGACGGCAAAAAGCTTTGCCGCGATTTCTATTAGATGAAGATGGCTATGCTGATTCAACGGGTGTCTTGTGCAGGAGGAGGAAGGGGAGAGCTCAGTGTTGAGAAGCCGATGGAGCAAGAACCAAACGTCCAAACCAATGGCCGGCACTAGTTGCTGTCAGAAAGTTCGTCGGCGCACCGTTCGTTGACTCATCAAGCTAGCTTATTGGTGCGTGTCTTGCCTTCTTTGCAATTACTACCTCCGTCGGTCTAAAAAGATGCAATTCTGCCAAACGATACAAGTAACATTTATGTATCAAGTAAATATCATCATATTATTTGTTATAAAATGTATTTTTATAATAAATATAAAATATTGTACTAATTTTTATAAAATTGATAAAAATTATGATATTTGGATTTTGACCATAGATAGAATTACAATTTTTTTAGGACGGACTTAGCATCTTTAGGCAATTAGGCTCAATATTCTTTCCTTGGACCCAGTCGTAGTCTCAGAGAGTATTCTTGCCAGACATTTGTTTGTCATCAATGACTGAGAGGGCTCACTCTCTCCGTCTCTATCAAGAATCGTGTCAAGGACAATAATAATGCTACAAATTTTAAATACAGTCGCTGAATCCATCTGCCAAAGCTGATTAGCAATAGCTGACTGGAATGAACTCCAAAAGGTGACAACCTTTGCTGCGTTGCACTGTTGTTTTTATGCACAACTGCACAGTATACATATATTCAAAAGTGCACCAATTTTTTTTTTTGGAAGAGAACTCATGAGCAATTTCTTCATATGGCCAGGTTTTCCCACGAAAAAAAAAAAATCTTTTGTCAACATGAGTAGTGCCCATGACCGACAAGATCACAAGATTATGTTTTGTTTTTTCTTGAGTGTTCGTAGTGAGCTTGAGTTCCTGTGGAATTTGGCAGAAAAAAAAATGGAGCAGCGGACAAGTGGCGGCTCAAGAGGTCATCTTCCAGGAGCCGTGGTGCTGAATCAGCTCGAGGCTGATGTTTCGTCTCCTGTCCTAGCTGGTTCTGTTTCGATTTGGGTTCTTCTTCCTCCATGTGTACATGCAGCGGCAAACTGAAAGGCATTCAGCTTTCGTCAGCAACAGAAACGAGTTGGAATGCAACACTTCTCAAAAAAAAAAAGTTGGAATGCAACTTGAACACCAAGCAGCAGGGCCATGTATGATGTATGCACGTAAGAAAAAAAAAATCCTTTCAAAAGCCACGACAAGAAATTCATCTGGCATATATTAATAGAGTAGAAGCAACTTACAAGATGAGAAAGAAAAAGAATTTGAAGTGGATGATACGCCTCTCCCTCATCTCTGGTACTTGGGATGGAGCAGAAATTCAGATAAAAGATACTACCTCCATCCAAAAAAGATGCAATTCTAGGTTTGGGTTGAGTCAAAGTTTCTTAAGTTTGACTAAAATTTATAGAAGTATTACGTAACATTTTATGACTTCAAATATATAGTATAAAAATAAATTTCTTGATAAAAATTTTATTATAATAATTTGGTATCATAAATAATATTATTTTTTATACCTCTAGTCAAAGTAAATATGGTAGAACGTTAGAATTGTATCTTTTTTAGATGGAGGGAGTAACGAGTGGTGCTTGAGACATGGACAGAAACTGATCGCTTAACCACCGGCCGATAATTGCCTGCACTTGCTGACCATTGCATGGTTGAGTATTAACACACAATCCCGCATACGAGCCTAATCCTCGTCATTTTGTCTGTCAGTCACAAGTCGATGCATGTCTGATCACAGCAGGTCAGGAGTCATGAGATGCTGCCGCCGCAGAGGATGCAGACAAAGGAATCAGGATTCAGGACAAGACCAGCTGTGACTGACCATCCAAAGCTTGGAGAATCAACGGTAGCCAGACCCAGCTGTGGATTCTGATGTGGTTACAGAATTTCACTGTCAGGTTAACTGCAGCTCATGTAAAGTGTTCTATTTCTTCCTATGACTGCTTGTAGGAGCTGAGGTTCGTCGTCTGTCAGCAATAATTCAGATCGAGCTGAGGTCCATCTGATCGACTGATCGTGCACCTGCACCTGCACGTGTGCGTGATCATCCAATGAGCTCTCTCGTGGGGAGGTGATGACCCAGTCAGGGATTTGCTGTGCCAATGCAGCTATGCTGGTATATTAATATTCTAGCAGAATCCTCAAAAGGACAAAAGCTGACCAGCCTAAGGCCATGTTTAGATTGCAAAAAATTTCAACCCGATGAATAGTAGCACTTTCGTCTTATTTGGTAAATATTATCCAATCGTGGACCAACTAAGCTCAAAAGATTCATCTCGTGATTTCCAACTAAACTGTGCAATTAGTTATTTTTTTACCTACATTTAATGCTCCATGCAAACGGCTAAAAATTGATGTGATGAAGAGAGAGTGAAAAAACTTGAAATTTAGAGGTGATCTAAACAAGGCCTAAGCTGCAAAGATTCTTCACGCATGTTTGCCTCAACCACCGTGATCTGCATCTACAACCTGCAAGCAAGCAAAGCAGTGAAGTCAGAAAGGTGACGCACAGCACAGATCACCCCCATTGCTTCTGTCTGTTTCAGGCTGCCGTGTTGGAAGGGACAACCGGACAACGGACAACCAGTGTTTACCGGAACTGGGTACGTGATCATCCAAGGAGCCCTCTCTCGTGGGGAGGTGATGACCCAGTCAGGGATTTGCTGTGCCAGTGCAGCTATGTGGGTATTAATATTCTAGCAGAATCCTCAAAAGCTGATTAGCCTAAGCTGAAAAGATTCTTCACGCATGGCTGCCTCAACCACAGTGATCTGCATCTGCAACCTGCAAGCAAGCAAAGCAGTGAAGTCAGAAAGGTGACGCACAGCACAGATCACCCCCATTGCTTCCGTCTGTTCCAGGCTGCCTTGTTGGAAGGGACAACCAGTGTTTACCGGAACTGGGCACTAGAAATGTTTGCAGTGCAGGCAATGGTAACGTGTGACTTTTTTGAACTAGTTGGGTTGCTAAATGCACTTGCAAGTTAAGTACTCTCTAATCATGGTTAAGTGACTTGCCACTACCGTGCCATGACTGTTTATTTTTGTTAAAGAAAGGATCCCTAGTATGCCATCAAACTGGTAGACTGTGTACCTTTGACTCCAAGTCGCATAATTGATTGACTCTTATTCAAGTCTCCTTACATTATTGGGAAAGTATACAGTGCAAACCCTTTACCTGATGAAATCATGAAAACAAACCTACTCAAAACGTACCTAGAAGTTTGGGTTAATTTGATCCATGCTATCATAAATATCATGTCTAAGTTCTACCACTTCTATTCATCGTATTGGAACGCCACGTGCTTGAACCAGGCCCATGGAATACTCTACTCTTTAAGCAATTGGGAAAATGGATTCACATGCATCAAGTATAATAAACCTCGACTACTTTGCTCAAAAGACCTAGTAATCAGGAGAATTAATTGAAACATGGTACACTTGATGTAGCTGTGAAATAACTTCAAGCTGTCATGGCTAATGAGTTACATGGGGTAAAAACTTACAACATTTTAGCATATCTAGCTTAATAGCAATGTACTAAGAATGAATCGAGTGCGATCAAAACTGATCTATATATCTACGTAAAATTCCAAATTGTAACAGCCTGCAGTCACAACAAACCCAAACTATAAACCCGTTACAGAAAGTAGATATGGTAGGCAGTGGAGTGCTTACCCGGCTGTTAAGGAGGGAGAAGTGTAAGGTGAAAACAAAGCACAGTTAGCAGCCAGCTCTTTCAAACAGATCAGACACTCAGCCAGCATGAGCAAATGGCAACCCTCCTAGACCAGAACAGCTTGGCAGTGAGGCTTTCTGGAGACCAAATCAAAGCAGCTTTGGTACATGCCATTAGATGGAGTTGGATAGGACAATGGTTGAGATCTCAAATTTCATGAGTACAGTTCAAATTTCTTTCAAATGATAACGCTATACAGTATACAGCATATACTTTGGCACAACATAAACAAACAGAAAGCAGAGGTTGCATCCAGTTGCTTCCAATGTTATCCTCCTGTGACCATTTTGGTGTTGGCCTCACAATCGAAATGTGTGCATTGATATTTCCTGCCCTCACTGTGTCATATACCCACATGATCGTATCATTATCCGACACCATGTTTTCAAGACGGCTGGTCGAGTCTGGACGTTTGGGGACCGTCCAGAACGTCCAAGATGATTAGTCGTCGTCCAGGACGATTAATCGACCCTGGACGAGTCCCCTGGTCGTCCCCTATATATGGGAAACTGATATACCATATATATTATATAGTTACTCAAACTAATATACACACACTAATATACTACATGTTCTAGGCTCTAGATAGGTCAGTTGGCCACTTACCTGGCTGCTGCAGAGCCCTTTCTTGTCTTGCTGGCTGCTGCTGACAAACTGAAATTATAGAAAAATAAAGCACATTAGCAAGGAAATATGGTGAAAGGCAATCAAGTGATCAACAAAGGAAATTAAAACAGTAAAGCACACAATTTAAACCAGTCCAGAACTGCATAGTGCATAGTGGCTAGTGGGCATAGTGCCACACTGTCATTGCCATAGTGCATAGTGCAATAGTGCATACATCAAGTCCAGTACATAAATGGGCAAAACAGCCAATGATCTAAAGAACTACTCAAGTAGAGTGCCATCTACACAAAAGCCTCCTCCATCTCCATCTGTTGCACATCCATGGGGGTCTTCATCCTCCTCCATTGGTGCCACAGGATCAGATGCATCTTGATCTTCTTGGTCTTCATTTCTTGCATCAGCATCATGGTCACTATCATCTTCTTCACCTCCAGATATATCTTGTGCTGCAGAAGCCCCCCTACGACGCTTCCTGTTCCTAGTATAGGTCTTACGGGACAGTGGCTACAAAGACGGCTAGCAAAGCAACCCTAGGCAAGTTATGAGCCCTTAGATTCTCAGATGCACCAATAGCTTCATCCACAACAGCCCAAGGCAGCTCCCCACAATTCTCATCAACCCATTCACTGTCCCACTGAAACTCTTCTAGCAAGAGAGGGTTGCTCCTCTTTCCTTTGCAACCAAGTTCTCGAATTTTTTGAAACCCATTTGTCATCTTTTTGTTGTAACTGACATAAACCAATTTATTTAGCCTCTTGTGCCCTAATCTATTCCTCTTTTTGGTGTGAATCTGCAGAAAAAAATAACATGACATCACATTGGTCTACAATTTCCAACAGCACTAACACTCTAGCAATGATACTTACACTAGAGAATTCGCTCCAGTTATGCTCACAACCTGATGCTGCGCAACAAAGACTGATAATTTTCTTTGCTAAACATTGTAGTTCAAATGCATGGCCACCATATGAACACCACCAACGAACTGAAACACAATTAGACTAGAATCAGCTCATAGCAAAATAGAATCAGCACAATTGAAGGAAAGAAAATGTTCTAAACTTACTAGGGTTCTTTTTGTCTCTGTCCCTTATAGCTAAAGGCATTGAGAAGCCTTCACCTTCAGATTGTTCATAGTCATCAGCTTGCTGCGAAATCTTGGTTGACACATTGTCATCGGTCACCATTTTCCATAGAACTTGATTGAACATGCCTCTTAACCTTGCAGCTTGTCTCTTGTCTTTCTCCCTTATGGCAAAGAACTTGTTTGGATTCAAGAATAGGGCTGCCCCATATAGCTTTTGTTCCATTTGGGTATCCCACCTCTTATCATATAACGCCAGCACCTGGCCAAGTAATTCAGTTTTATCTTTTAGAGATTCTTTGATGGTGCTTTTTGCAACATCCATGGCTGCAGTGATCTCAGGAGCTGCTGGTGTCTCATCCCCATCTGCAATCCTTAGAGCAACGAGAAGTGGTTGTGAAGCTTTCAAGCAATATTCCAATTTAGTCCAAAATGGCACAGATAGGATAATATTCTCAACTCGTTTGCCTTCAACAGACTTAGACATGCTGTTATTGTGCCATTCCTCGCTGACGACTAAATTTCTCAAGCCTTGCTTATTTTTATACATACTTGCCAAAGTGAGATAAGAAGTAGCAAATCGAGTCACAGCTGGCCTCACAAGATCCCCACCTATTTTCTGTCTCATTAGATCAAGTATCCTCCCATGCTTGTATAGAAATCTGCTCAACTTCTTTGCTGAATTTATGACAGCGTTGAACTCCTTTATCTCTCCAATGTCTTGCAGCAACAAATTCAGGCAATGGGCAGCACAAGGTGTCCAAAACAAGTGCGGGATCCTCTCCATTAGAATCCTTCCCGCTGCCTTGAAGTTGGACCCATTGTCTGTGACAATCTGCACCACGTATTCCCTCCCAATCTTGTCAATTTGCTTCTCTAACAAATATGCTAGCAAATTCATATCAGCTACCTCACTTGATGCATCAACTGAACCTAGGAAGAATGTCCCTGCTGGACTGTTTGCAAGAAAATTGATTAGATGACGATGGCTAGTATCTGTCCAATCATCAGACATCAGAGTGTAACCATACTCTTTCCAAGCTTCCTCATGCTTCTTCCTCAGTTCTGTTGTCCTATTGACAGCCCTTTCTAACAATGGCTCACTAATTTCATGGTAGGATGGTGAGCGGTACCCAGGTCCATACTGTCCAATTGACTCAAGCATAATCTCCCAGCTTCTAGAGTTAATGACATTGAATGGTATACGATTTTCATAAAAGAAATCAGCTACATGGTCATCAACAACTTGTTTGTTCTCTTTCTTTGTGCAATGCTCTATAGTAGGCTGAGAAGTCTTGAATTTATGCCTTTCTGAAACTACCTCTTCTGGTGTCTTCCGAAGCATGGAAACAACTGACTTGGTGTTCTTTTGATTTGCTGGTTTTGATGAACCAGCAGCAGCCATATAGGCAGCGATGGAAGATTGAGCTACTTTCTTCTTTGCTTGTGCTTGCTTTTTCTTGGTCTTTGTACCAGAACTAGCCACTTTTTCTGGTTCAACTTCATCACCTTCACCCTCTTCAGAATCTTGTTGAACTTCAGGAACTACCACAACTGCAGACCTTGTATTCTTCTTGATGTAAGCATCCATCTCTCGCTTAATAATCTCAGGGCAATTTGGACATCCAAGTGCATCACCATAACTTCCAGCAAGGTGTTGTTTAAACCTACTAATTCCTGAGGGAGTTATCTTCTTACAAAAAATACATTGCATAGCGTCCTTCTTTGCAATATCTGGCCACCATCCAAACTTCCATCCAGGGTCTCGAGACTTAGCCTTCCTCTTGGGATCTTTAGCTTCAGCAACCATTTCTGGAGGCAGTTTTGCTAGGGCCTTTTCCACAAGAGATGCAACATCGGGAGCAGTTGATGCTGCTGAACCAGCAGCAGCAGTAGAGCCTGATGCAACTGAGGAGGCTGGAGCAGAACCAACTTCTCCTTGAACTTCAGCATCAGGGATGTTCATGTACACTTCCACTGCACGTTGCCTCTGTCGATCTAGATCTACACAGAGAAACAGAGCTTCAAGCTTCAAAGCACCAAGATTGAACGAGGAGGTGATGACTGACCTGAGGAGGAGGAGCTCATATTCTTCGTGCAGTCTTCCTCCCTTGCACAGTTGGATCTGTAGTTCTGCACCCGCTGGATCTACAGGCATGCGTGCCTGTAGCACTGCAGCAACCACAAGGAAGAGAGGGAGGGCAGCTGGAAGGGGGAGGAGCAGCAGGGAAAGGGAGGGCAGCTGGAAGGGGGAGGAGCAGCTGGAAGGGAGAGGGAGGGCTGCTGCTGGACTGGGAGAGGTGAGAGACTAGAAGACTGAAGAGTGAGTGTGTCTACCATGTGAGTGAGAGGCTGAGGGAGTGAGGGGGTAGGAAAGGGAAACCCTAATGGGCTTGGGCCAAAATATAAAATAGGCCCAGCTCTCAGATACAGCCCACTCTCAGGCTGGACAGGCTGGACGACTAGCACAGCCTGGACGAGCGATTAATCGCGGCTGGACGACAATTAATCAGACGACTAGTTTTTTTGGACGGTCTGGCCTATTCGGAGGCCCTGGTCGAGTTGCTAAAACCGTCTAGGACGATTAGTCGCGATTAATCGCGATTAATCGGACGTCCTGAAAACAGGGATCCGACTTGCTTTCAGAAAATTTATTAGCGGTACAGTTCCAATGCAGAACCACAGCTCTAGGCAGACGATCTCTCATTTGTGACTAAACACTGGCTGAATAACAGAACTGGACAGTAACACTAGTGAATGCACTTCTTTCTCACCAAGCGCATATGTGTATCATTCAGTACCGATAACAACCTTCAACTATATTAGTCTTCATCATTGGGTCTGAAAGTGCAGAGCAGCTGCACATCGATGACAAGTGACCATGCACGAAAAGCATTCATGTTGCCAAGGGATTTCCGTGCTCACTTGGCACAGACGCTACCAGGGACTAGCCAGATGCTGCCCCAAGGTAGACAGTGGCACCACAAAAACATGCTCTCTTTTTTTCTTCTGATTTTGTATTTCATAACAAGTTTTGGGCATGCCAATTCTACAAACCTGACTTTAGTAAGAACATTGTGTTTCTTACTGCTTGTGTTTCTCTACAACAACTCTCTTTTTTTCTCTCCACATTTCCAGCATCACTCCTGAAGATTGTACTCAGGCTGGAGTTGGAGTTATATGGGTGTTGACTTTCACCGACCCCTCAGTAAAAGAATGCAAGTTTCATGGCATTCCAGACATGTTCATACATAAGAAAACAATTTGAATTATTGGCATTTTATAGACCAAACTGCACGCTCTCTCATGTCTTTAGAACCTTTTTGTGATGGCAGAACACTTGAGCCATCTGACAAACACATTGAAGATGCTCATGCCAATCTCTATATGTACCCTTTGCCTGGGACAAGGAGCAAGCAGTATGTGAAAAAGTTTAATTATGAATAAGAACTCAGAAAAAGAAATGAAGACTACTACTATTCTCCTCATAAATATATAGAGGGAGTAAATTGCATAGGGCTTCACCATGATAGCCAAGCCACATGACTAGAAGGTGTACAACTTGAAAGTTTCCTAAAAACTGTAAATTTAAGCTCTTACAGCTATTTGGATCTGCTAGGTGAAAATCAGAAGCACAAAAGTTGAATCAAATAAATGTTACTGCATTAATTTTAAGAGACTATATAATTACCATATCTTTGCTAAGCAATGCCTAGAGAAACAATGGATAACACTAGCTCTATGGCTAAGAAAGAAATGTACAAAACGAAAGGTTGCAGCTCATGTATCACTGGATATTGTCACGAGAATCTCTTCATCTCCAGAAGAGCAAAGCCTCTGTGCAACCTGAAGCAGCATTCTTAACATATCAAAGATTTCATCCATCCTTGGGTGTGACCTATCATCTGCATTAAAAGAATGCACCTCATTTTTCACCTCAATCCAGCTCCATCCAGGAACTTTGCTTAATCCCCTGTTCTTCATTACCTTCTGCACTGTTGCTCTATCACTCCACATACCAAGACCAGAATACATGCTGGAGAGAAGAACATAGGTGGAGTGCTGCCGAGGTTCTGCCACAAACAAATGGCTTGCCACATCGCTTGCTAGTTCCATATTCCCATGGATTCTGCAAGCACCTAAAAGGGTCATCCACACCATGGCATCTGGCTGAAATGGCATAGACTCAATAAGCTCTTTTGCTTTGTCAAGCTGCCCAGCCCTCCCATATAGATCAACTCCACATGCATAGTGTTCCATTCGCAGAGAGGAATTTTGTACCTAGTTTCCATTGTATTGAGAATTTCCGACCCTTCATCTACAAGACCACCATGGCTGCAGGCGGTAATCAGGGCAACAAAGGTAACATGATCCAAAGGAACCTCAAGGTCCAGCATCTCATTGAAGAGGTCGGTCACAGTCTGTGCCTGCCCATGTTGTGCATAACCAAACATCATCAAGTTCCAGGGCACCGAGCTACCCTTATCTGCCTCTTCAAAAGACTTTCTTGCATCACCAAGCATTCCGCACTTAGAATACATGAAGATCAGCGAGCTTGAAACAAAGTCATTGGAAGCAAAACCAGATTGGATGACTAAACTGTGTACTTGTCTACCTAGCTGAAGTACAGCAAGGTCTGAGCAAGACCTCAGAGCAGCAGAGAGCGCAAACTCATCTGTCCTAATATTCTCTGCTCGCATGCATCTGAAGAATCTCAAAGCGTCAGAACTCAAACCATGATGTGAATACCCAGTTAACATAGAGTTCCAGGAGACTGCATCCTTAAAAACCAGAGAATTAAAGCACTTATATGCATCTTCCATCATGCAGTACTCAGTGAACCTAGTGTACATGGCGACCATAGCGTTGCAAACATGTGTGACTCCTTCCAACCCAATCTTGATCACCAAACTATGAATTGATCTCCCTTGCCTATCATCACAGCCATGCTCAGAACAAACACTTACGACACTTGTAAAGCTATACATGTCAGGCTGGATTCCACTCTCCCGCATCATCCTGACGAAGAATCTCATTGCCTCACTGTTCATCCCATGGTAAGCATAGGCCCCAAGTATAGAATTCCATGATATCAAATCCCTACTCTCAATTCCATCAAAGATCTTTCTAGAGTCTGCAAGTGCGCCACACTGCGAGTAAGCAGTGATTGCTGCGTTTAGCACTACCAACCCCAATGCTGAACCATACTTCACAATCTTTCCATGCAGCTGCTGCATCAAGGAAAACCAGCGCGGGCCCTCAATTGTAGCTAGCAACGCAGCAAATGTCCCATCATCTGGGACCAACCCCACCCTCTGCATCTCGAGAAACAGATCCATTGCTTCTGCCGGCTTCTGAGAGTCCGCGTATCCAGCAATGAGCGCGTTCCAAGAAACGGTATTCCGTACTGGCATTCCATCGAACACTCGGCGAGCATCGCTCAATCGGCCACATTTCGCATACACATCTAGCAATGCGCTAGCAGAGAAGACGTTGTCAGCGAGGCCGCACCTGACGGCGAACGACTGCAGCTGGGCGCCGAGCTCCGGGCGTCGCGTGGCGGCCGCGGAGCGGAGGGCGGAGCCGAGGGTGAAGGTGCTGGCGGCGAGCCCCCGCGCGTGCATGGCCCGGAGCAGGCGCCATGCGTCCCGGTGCGCGCCGGCGGCGACGTGCGCGGCGAGGAGGGAGTTCCAGGAGGCCGCGTCGGGGCGGGGGATCTCGTCGAACACCCGGCGCGCGGCGGCGAGGCCGGAGCCGGAGCCGGAGTACGCGGTGAGGAGCTGGTTCCAGGGCGTGGGGGAGGAGGCGCCGGACTTGAGGAGCGCGGCGTGGGATTTGGCGGCGGCGGCGAGGGCAAGGTGCTGGCGGCGGCGCATGCGCAGCTATACAGGCTACGGCCGCGGTGGACTGGTGGAGGCGGAGGCGAGTCCGCGCGTGCGCGGGCATTTGCGGAGCCGGGGCGTTTCTATTTTCAATGTTATTTTCATTCAAACTATATGAAACCAATGGAGATTGCTAAATCAAGGCTTGAACTCCATACCATGTTACAAATCCCGTTGATATTCTCTGGCTGAGAATATTAACAATTCTAATTCAAATCCTTTTAAAATGATTGTATTATGTTGATTACTTTACCATTGTCTCAAACATGTGCCACCGAAACATTAGGTTGTTTTTCCCCGAACACAAAACTTGCATAGAAAATGATCTTCTTATGTTACTGTGCTTCTTGAAATTTGTTTGAGGTTACTAAAATCTACTGTATGATGTATCAATGTTTTGAGTCCTGATATATGTAAGAATCTGCATAGCTAGAAGCAAACCCCTACTAATTATGGAACATAGATGGAGTAGCGCGACAATGAATGAAAAGGTGGATGGCATTCTCTGGAGTGGTGCGACGGTGTAGGCAAACCTATGTCTCAATCAGTCTTGTACAGATAATCTTTTCGCGGTCTACAACCTATTTTAGAGGAGGAGCCAACCAAAGAATTTGCACCGTTGTTTGGCCAGCCTTCGAGGATCCAAGAGCATTTATCAGAGCGATCCACCCTTCCTCGTAGCAAGAAAACCTTCATAACGAGGGTTTATCTAATGATGTTGAATCGCAAAGTATGCAAAGGTTATTAGCAAAGGTTTCTATCAACATGACTCAGACAACAAATGTTAATCTTAAATTAATTTTTATTTCACACCTCTATTATTTGAATATTAGCATTTGGGTCCCTTATGGATGATTTCTAGTTCCAACCTTAAATGACCTTCACAATCTAAATCTCATAGATAAGACATTTAACACAAACAAGTGTACAAGAAGTGTTTAAGTTTAGTAAGATCATCCAAAGTTTTGTCCAAATACTTGCTATAGGCAATGGGCGGAACTAGCAGAGTATGTTCTAAAATGTTTTCTCTAAGCTTCAGACCGGGTAGGGTCCTAGATCTTTGATATGAATGGAGCTTCACTCGGCATAAAAACAATCATGTCTTAAGATAGGTGAGCTGTGATGTAGCTTCAAAGGGGGTCATATGCCCCCCTCCCCTACCAAAAAAAAATCATTACTACTCCCTCCATTTTTTGTTAGTCGCCATCGGGTTTCACATAATTATTTTTTTGTTAGGCATGGTAAGTAATTTGAGGAGTATAATTATTCATTTGTTAGGCGTGGTAGAGTAATTTGTGGAATATGATTGCATATACTCATTGCGCTCCAAATTCAAAGCCGCAACCACATGCATAGCTACATGGTGCATGCAAAAGAGAAGGGAACAAATCAACCTAATGGATGTGTCATTCTTATGCCCATAGAAGTGCAGCGTTCGGTAGTTTTTAATATATGCTCTGCTTCATTCTTGGAATTGCACTCGTCACGCCTAACAAGAGAAAATGGGGAAGAAAATGGAGATAGTAATCTATTGTATATGTTGGAGGTTAGCCCTCGATGCTCGGCACCCTATCTTTATCTTTATTTTCAGCAAAATATGTTATAGAACTTTGAATGCTATATTCTACACCCTAGGTGCTCATTGATTTGGGATGTCGACTCCCTAAACCTATGTCTACTACAATGCAAATGGACAAGCACATCGTCCTTTAAACTCTAAAAAAAACCTCAAGTCTATCATGTATATTAAGGATATTTATTACGCTGATGGAGCTTTCATACCTATCTTTTCAGTTTTATTAGGTTGCGGATGATAGGGAAACGGAGACAGAGAAGGCCCAGTTCTCCTAGTTTTCTGCCATTCAACCGATAGATTTGTGTCCTTTTTCACTTCACATAGCCAATCGACTTGCTTCTCTCAATTGAGAAGCCGAGAGGGAAATTGCAAAATTCAAAAATAAAAAACACTCGTGGGGTCGTGGGCTAACATCGGCCCAAGTGCCTGTGAATCGCCAGTCCCGCCAAGTATTGCTCTGGCTCTTTGTTGGGCCGATTGAGTGATATAAATCTTGTACGGGCCTAGAGCCTTTAGGCCCATATTGTCTTCAAATGCTAGCATTCAGGTTCAGAAAAGAATACTCACTTCCCCTCAAAAAGAAAAGAAAAGAATACTCACAACCAAACCATATCGCACTGCAAGTCTGCAATGCCTCATCGAACAATTCAGCACAGCATCTTGTGTCAATCAGTTTATAGCAATCAATCATCATAATTTAATTTGATTGCAAGCCACGAAATTAACATAGACCCGCAATGCAAGTCACGTGTGCTTTGGTCTTGCCTTCATGCTTCAGCTAGCACTCCATCCATTACAGTAGCAGCTCGATGGAATGGGAGCCATGGAGGCCACCACCACACAGGCAGCAAGAAAGGAACCATGTCCTTGGCCCAAGGACGGAGGTGACCCAACCCACAGCTCTCACTCCATGTCAGCTGCGGCCGCCTCCTGCTGTGCTGCGCATCCTCACCAGTGCAAGCAACCCTTCCTTCCTTGCATTCCTTCCATGGCTCGGACATGGCAGCAATTCGGCGTCGGCGTCATGGCACACCGGTACGCCACGCCCTTGCAAATCCCAATACCATAAATACACGCCGAGGGTTCGCTGTCCGTGTACGCTCGCTCGCTGCGAAAGCGAGCAGCTTTGGTGTTGGTGGGTGTCGGTCTCCGGCGGCGAATAGCTGCCATGGACCGGCGGCGGAGCGGGTGTTCGAGGACTTCGAGCCGGCGGTGGAGTGGAAGCTGGCCGGGGAGGAGCAGGACGTGGTGGAGATCTCGCTGCCGGGGTTCCACAAGGACCAGGTGAGGGTGCAGTTGGACAACCACGGTGTGCTCCGCGCCACCGGCGAGTGCCCCACCAGGGGCGGCAGGTGGGCCAGGTTCAAGAAGGACCTCCGCCTCCCCAACAACTGCGACTCCGACGGCGCCCGTGCCAGGTTCAAGGGCGAGAAGCTCATCATCATGCTCCCCATCGTCGCCGTCGCCACCACCGCCGCACTCACCGACTCCGTCGCCGCCAGAGCCTAGCAGGCCTCCTGCGTACTCTGAGCCGACACTTCCGTGGGCACAGCAGCCACCGCCTCCTTTGTCCCGAGATCTTCCGCACGGGTGAGCCAACCACTCACTAGGTGAGCCGATCGGTCACCGGCGTTGTTGCTCGACTATGACTAGAGATAGAAGAATAGAGAGAACAGAGCGCGCACACACACAGCACAAACATCAGCGTTGACTGTAGCTCTACAGAGAAGATGGCAAAACTGAACCTGCTCTCTTTACTAAGTTGTGGTGGGAAGATACATATACAACTTTACCCATCTAATCCTATTACACATATGCCAGGCTGTCATGCTGCTACAATACTAGATGTGACAGCAGCGTTGACTTTGGCGTCTGCTCCTGCTGTGGCTACAGTGCGGCAGGGGAGCTTTTCGACGCCTACCCCTGTTGTGGCTATAGTGCAGCAGCAGGGAGCCCTTTCGATGCCTGCCCCTGCCGTGCGTTCAGACAGGGAGAGCAGCAGATTAATTTATAATTATTTCGCTAATCCTGCTGCTAACCCTAGAACCTCTACCATGTCGATTATCTTCTTCAGCTCCATAAACCGAAGACGGCCGAACGGCTTGGTAAGGACGTTCGCGAGTTACCGATCAGTTTCGACGAACTTGATGACGATTTGCCCTCCATCGACACAGTCCCTAAAGAAGTAGAACTTGATGTCGATGTGCTTGCTCCGGTCGTAGAGAACCGGATTCTTCGCGAGGGCAATGACGGGCTGGTTGTCCACCATCAGTGCTGGTGGATGAGCTTCCACACCGGTCGGCTCGCCCAACAGCCGGCGCAGCCACACAGCTTGGCACGCCGCTGTGGCCACCGCCACGTACTATGCCTCGCACGTGGACAGCGCCACCACCTTCTATTTCAGTGACAGCCAAGAGATTGGAAACCGACCCGAGAAAGACGAACACTCCAGAGGTGCTCCGCCGTCCGTTGATGTCCCCCGCCATGTCTGTATCGCTGAACACAGTGAGCTGCAGCCCACTTCCGCTGTTCTTAGGGAAGACGATCCCCTGATCCACCGTCCCCTTGATGTAGCGCAGCAGCCGCTTCATCGCGGTCCAATGATCCTCTCGGGGATCTTCTATGAAGCGGCTGACGTAGCCTACGGCGAACGTAATGTCCGACCTCGTGTGGACTAGGTAGCATAGACCATCGATGATGCTCTGGTAGAGTGTTGCATCTACCCTCACCGCGGTACTGGCCTTCGCCAACTTCAGTCGCTCCTCCATCGGAGTCACGCACGGCTTGCACTCAGCCATGCCGCTCAGCTCCAATAGCTTCGAGGCGTACGCGCTCTGACCGAGCGTGAACGCCTCCTTCCCCTGTCTCACCTCGATGCCGAGGTAGTAGGAGAGCGCGCCGAGACCGCTCATTCAAAAACGAGCCGTCATCTCACGCTTGAAGTTATCGATGTCCTCTGCACGCGCGCCGGTGATGATCAAGTCGTCCACATACACGCTGATGATGAGCTTCTCCTTCCTCCGTCGTTGCGTGTAGAGCGCGTGCTCAGTTGCGCACCGCATGAACCCAAGCTCACCCAGCGTGACGTCAAGCTTGACGTTCCACGCTAGCGAGGCCTGCCGCAGCCCGTAGAGCGCCTTGCGCAGTCGGAGCACCCTGTGCTCTGCTCCCTTGATGGCAAAATGTGGAGGTTGCCTGATGAAGACCGTCCCCGCCAGCTCATCGTTGAGGAAGGACGATTTTATGTCTAGGTGATGGACGCGCCAATCCTTCGCTACTGCCAAAGCCAGCAGCAGTCGGATAGACTCCATGCGCGCTACCGACACAAAGACTTCCTCGAAGTCAATGCCCTCGCACTAGACAAAGCCTCGGGCCACAAGGCATGTCTTGTGCTTGACAATGGCGCCGTGCTCATCCCGCTTGACCTTGTATACCCACTTTAGGCCGATCGGACGGCATCCTGGAGGTGGATCGATGAGCTCCCAAGTTTCGTTTTCCTCGATCACCTTCATCTCCTCTAGCATCGCCCGTCGTCAATCTGCATCGCGCTCGGCCAGCGCGAATGTGGGTGGTTTCTCTGCACTGATGAGAAGCAGCTCTGGGTTATTGAGCAGCCGACCCGCCAGGCCTGAGGACCTTGTGTCGCAGACGATGTTGTCCAGCCTGTGAAACCGCACCTCCTCACCATCGTGGAAAAGCATCCACGAACTCTGTGATGTCGCTTGGAGGTGAGGCGAACTCGATCGACGTCGATGGAGTCCCCTATTCCGTCGGAGTGGTCGGCACAGCACCTGGAGTGCTTGGCACCCTGGCTGCAATGCTCGGCCCTACTCCTAGACCGTTTGTCACCACTCTTGGAGCGGTTGGCACCACTGTAGGAGTTCTCGACACAGTCTTGGAGTGGTCGGCACCACTGCAAGACCTCTCGACTTCGCTACGGGAGCGTTCGACACCTGTCCTTAAGTGGTTGGCACCACTGCAGGACTGCTTGGCACCCCTCCCGGAGTGCTTGGCTCTGTTGCTAGAGTGGTCGGCACCTCTTCTCTAGCGTCTTCACCACCATGGATGAGCAAGTACTCAACGATGAAGGTGCTGGTGAAGCCGCCAGCTTCTCCCGTGCCTGGATTGTCCAAGTCCCAGGCCGCCTTCTCGTCGAATACGACGTCGCGCGAGACAACCACCTTGCCTCCTCGTGGGTCATAGAGCCGGTACGCCTTGGTACCTTCCTCGTAGCACAGGACCTGTCCTCCAGCTTGGTGAGGACCGGCTTCGTCTTCCTGACGTGGTCGATGCAGCCAAATGTCCAGAGGAAGAACACGCTCGGCTTGCGCCCATACCAAGCTTCGAACGACGTCACACCCTTCAGGGCCTTTGTGGGCGCACGGTTGAGGATGAACACCGTCCTGGTCACCGTCTCACCCCAGAACCTTGCTGGTATGCTCTTGGCCTTCATCATGGATCGAGCCATGCCGACTACTGTCTGGTTCCGTCGCTCCACCAAGCCATTATGCTGTGGCGAGTACGGCCCGGTGTGGTGTCGCACCACACCCTGATCCGCGCAGTACGCAACGAACTCCACCGAGGTGAATTCGCCGCCACGATCAGTCCGCAGCATGCGTAGCTTCTTGCCGCTCTTCGCTTCCGCGTGTGCCTTGACCTTCTTGATCGCCTCTGCCATCTCGTCCTTGCTCGTCAGAAGTTGCAGCCACATATAGCGATTGCAATCGTCCATGAGCAGGAGGAAGTACCATTGACCACCGTTTATGGCTGGCGTGAGTGGCCTACAGAAATCGCCGTGGACGAGCTCGAGCGCGTCCGCCGCGTGATACTAGACCACCTTTGGGAACGGCAGCCTCCTCGGGTTCCCGGCCAGGCAGCTGTCACACAGCTCACCTGCGTGCTTGATGTGGGACATCCCTTGGACCATCTTCTCCAGCCGACCGAGCGCGTCGAAGCTGAGATGGCCGAACTGGGCATGCCATAGCCACGGCTCCTCGGTGTGCCATGCTGCCAGGCACACCGGCTGCTCCACCTTCAAGTCGTGCAGGTACAATCGATTACGTGAGCATTTTACCTTCGCGAGAAGACGCCGCTTCTAATCTCGAATCTTTAGGATCCCGCTCCGATACCACTTGTTGGTCCCGAGATCTCCCGCACGGGTGAGCCGACCAATCACCGGGTGAGCCGACCGGTCACCGGCGTTCTCGCTCGACTATGGCTAGAGATAGAAGAAGGGAGGAAGAACAGAGCGCGCGCACACATACAACACAAGCACCAGCGTTGGCTGGAGCTCTACAGACGAGATGGCAAAACTGAACTCGCTCTCTTTACTGAGTTGCAGTGAAAAACTACATATACAACTCTATCTATCTAATCCTAGTACAGACACATGCCAAGCTGTCAGGCTGCTACAGTGACTAGATGTGACAGCAGGGCTGACTTTAACGCATGCCCCTGCTGTGGCTACAGTGCAGCAGCAGGGAGCCCTTTCGACGCCTACCCCTGCCGTGGCTACAGTGCAACAGCAGAGAGCCCTTTCGGTGCCTGCCCCTGCCGCGCGTTCAAACAGGGAGAGCAACAGATTACTTTACATCCTTCACCACCACGACCACGTCGCCATCCATCGCCACCACAACCTCCCGTTCCAGCTTATCATGAACCGCCGCAGCCACCACGTCCATCACCACCGCCTCCACCACCCCCGTCCTTTATTCCAAGTTATTCCGAGGCGGCGCCGCGTCGGTCTCCATCTCCATCTCCATCTCCATCGCCGTCGCCATCGCCATCTCCATCGCCGCCACTGTCGCCTCCAACGCGTCGGCCCCCATCGCCACCTCGTTTCCCAAGTTATTCCGCGCCACCACCGCCGCCACCACCGCCACCACCGGCACCAGCACCAGCACCACCACGTCAGCGTCCATCACCGCCTCTTCCTCCTACGCGTCCTGAGACACCGCCGCCACGTCGGCCTCTGTCCCCGCCGACGCCACCACGTTCTTATTCTGAGCCACCTCGTCAGCGTCCATCACCGCCACAACCTTCAAAGTATCTTGAGCCGCCGCCGCTGCGCCAGCCTCAACCACCACCGCCGCCTCCTGTTCCAAGTCATCGTTATGAACCGCCGCGGCGTCTTCCACCACGGCTTGTTCCACCACCTCCACCACCTCCGCCGCCTCCTACTTACCCTGAACTGCCTCGGGCGCCGGCTCCACGTCCATCACCGCCGTCAGCACCACCACCTCGTCCTTCTATCTATTCAGAGGCGGCACCGCCACCCGAACAAGCTCGCCGTCCTGTTTATTCAGAGCCAAAGCCTCCAGCGCCACGTTCGTCGCAACAGCCTCCAGACCACCTACGGCGAAGCCCGCCATTGAAGAGCTGAAACCGTCAACGTCGCGGCATGGGAAGCCGGGTGCTGCTCCTGAGCCGAAACCGTCGACTCCTCCATTGTGGCAGACACCGGTCTCTGTCCCGCCTCCTCCTCCGGTGCCGCTGCCTCCTCGTGGTGCAGAGGAACCACTGAAGAAGAAGCAACTGCAAGATACCAGTACCATGGCCATGGTGAACAGGAAGACGGAAAAGACATTTGGCCGCCGCCACCACCACCACCACCGGAGAAGAAGAAGAGCAAGAAAACCAAACGTGCGGATGAGCCAGCTGGCGCTGAATTGAGAGGGAAGGTGGATGAAACAGCAAGGGGTGCGAAGCGACCCGAGAAGAACAACCAAGCTGGGGCATTGCCAGCGGTGGGCGATGCTCCGACGACGGCGACTATGACGACGGAGCCGACACGACAGCTGATGGTGAACGCTGCGGCGGCGGTGGCCGTGCTCGTTGGGATCATCGTGGCCGTGTGGCGCACCCTGCAAAGCTAGCTACTCTGCCTGCTGCTTATTTAGATGGTGCAGTGCAAAACTGCAAATGGAACGAAAGTGCCCAAGTGTTGCTTGGAATTATGTGCTGATGATGTGAACTTTGCAATCGCACAGAGTGTCGTGTATATAAACACGACACTGTGCACGGAGACCGTACCTCGTGTGTCATGTGTGCCAAAGGCAAAGCAGAATAGACCATGTGTACCTTATCAAAGCAAGCAAAACAGAGTGCTTTGCAGCTGGGAATTTACAACAAATCACCCCAAAATTCAACTGGAAAACCTGAATGCTCCAGCTCCCAAAGTCCAAGATAGACAAATGGAAGACTTGAATCACATTCAACTGGAAAACCTGAATGTTCCAGCTCCCAGTCCAAGATAAACTTGAATCACCCAAATCAACTGGAAATTCTGAATGTTCCAGTTCCAGCTCGCAGAGTCCAAGATAGACAAATGAAAGTCTTGGCAATGGCAGTGTATAGCACACAGTGGACCATTAACCTGAGCGCAAACACAATTAGCTATTAACTTGCCGATACGAGATCTTTACTTTGAGCCGGAAGACACCTCGGAGTGGCAGATGAAACACTGCAGATATCCCACTCAGTTTTACAATACAAGTACACGGGCAACTTGCCTCAAAACCACAAAATAATGAGTAAAACAGGTATTGCGTGGGGCGATCATCGCACCAAGAAAAATACTAATCTAACCACAGACGGAGCAAAACGGGAACAGGGGACCCTGATTATTGGAAACAAATGGCTTCTTGATGACACCCTCCTTGTAATTAAAGGAAAAGTCGTGGCGGAGACGGCCGTCCTCACTTGGCGCTGGCGAGCTCGGCGCGGATGAGCTTGGCGGCCGAGACCATGTTGGTTAGGGCGGGCTTGACCTCCGCGTACTTGCGGGTCTTGAGACCACAGTCGGGGTTCACCCAGAGGATGTTGGTGTCGAGCACCGCAAGCATCTTGTTGACACGGTCGGCAATCTCCTCGGTGGACGGGATCCTGGGGGAGTGGATGTCATAGACACCAGGGCCAATGCCGGCACCGTACTTCACACCCTCGCGGAAGACGGAGAGGAGCTTCTCGTCGGACCGGGAGTTCTCAATGGTGATCACATCGGCGTCCATGTCGATGATGGAGTGGATGATGTCGTTGAAGTTGGAGTAGCACATGTGGGTGTGGATCTGTCAAGAGAAGGAAAGTCAGGTGGAATGTCTTGAAGAAATGTTGATGTGCATATCTGACTCACTGACAAGGCTCCACGGCGCAGTTCAAGAGAATGACCTGGGTGGTGTCCTGGATTTCACAGTTGGTGATTCTGAAGGAGTGGACGGCCCAGTCCAAGTAGAAAGCGTGCTCAGCCTTGCGGAGTGGCAGACCTTCTCTCAATGCAGCCTCATCGATTTGGATAACCTGCAAAGGACAGTGAGATATAAGCAATATGATCAATCATTAATGTACATAGAGCTCTTGATTAAATAATACACCAAGAAAAGTAAAAAAAAATGCTAACCTTAATACCAGCAGCCTCAAGATCCTCGACCTCCTTCTTGATCGCAAGAGCAATCTGGTAGCAAGTCTCAAATCTGGAAGATAGGAGCAACATGTCAGTCTCTAAATGGAAGAAAATAATGCTCTGAAAACCATAAACTAAATCCTTCTGCTTTAGTTACTGACCTTGGCTGGTCATTCCGGACAAATGACCAGTTGAGGATTGTGACTGGACCAGTCAACATTCCTTTCATTGGGCGAGATGTCAAGCTCTGTGCCATCTTCGACCAGAAAACAGTCATTGGGTTGGGGCGGCTCACATCACCATAGATGATCGGTGGCTTGACACACCTTGATCCATAAGATTGCACCCAGCCATTGGCGGTGAATGCAAAACCAGAGAGCTGCTCACCAAAGTACTCTACCATATCGTTTCTCTGTAAAAAACAGGCCAATGAAGTTTCTTAAATGTGACTCTACAATTATGATATCGTAATTTATTATCTCAAATGCACAGCAAAAACTAGCAGAACAACTTCAAGAGCACTAACCTCGGGCTCGCCATGCACAAGCACATCGATGTCAAGCTCTTCTTGGAGCTTAACAACCTTGCTGATTTCCTCCTTGATGGCACTGACATACTCTTCCTCAGAGATCCTGCAATGTGAATTTCCAATAAGAAATACAGCCAAAATACAGACAAGTGAAGTATAAGTATTAAATGTTACTCACTTTTTCGCCTTTGTACTCACGGGCGGACCCTCCTGAGCTCCACAGTCTCGCGGGAACGAACCAATTGTAGTCGTGGGAAGGACGGGAGGTTGAGCTCCTTCTGCTGGGCATCCAATCTAGCACTAACGGTGGTTTGCGGCGGTGGTCAGAGCCCTTGAGAGCAGCAGCCTGTAACAGTATACAGAAAGAGGTTGGTACACGTTAAAATTGGACTAGCAGGTGTAAGCTTTTAAGCCTCAGGCAAGGTACTCACAGCCTTCTGGACTTCTTCATTGGTCACACGGGGAGAGGATTTCCTCGATGCCTGAGCAGCAGCATTTGCTGCAAAGTAGGCCTGTAGATGACATTTGCAGAAATGAATAGGCCAGTATAAGTTTGTATGCAGGAAAAAGAAACACCAAGGACTAGTTAAGACAACAGAGAATGAGAACAAAACTGCCATACCTCATCCTTTTGACCAGCCAATGCCTTCGCAAGAGCATCAACCTCAACAACCTTCTGGGCAGCAAAAGCAAGCCAAGACTTAATCTCGCTGTCAAGCTTAGTCTTGTTCACAAGATCCACAGCGGTGTGCATGAGTGAGCAGGAAGTTGATACAACAAGCTTGTCTGAACAAATGGTAGGCATTATCAGATATTGCCAACTGTAACCAAATCTAATCTAACGACAGATAAACAGTGAAAGTATGATTACCCTTCCCAACAACAGCCTCAAGAGACTGGAGAGTGCTGAGAGATGTAGCAAGATCATCAGCCCAGATGTTGCGTCCATCCACAACACCAGCAAAGAGGTACTTTCCAGCAGGGAAACCAGCACTCGTGACAAGCCCAAGAGTTTGGGTTCCACGGACAAGATCAAAACCATAAGCAGTCACACCGCTCAGAGATGTTAGGGTCCTGCATTCAAAGAACAGTGAGTATGCTGTCATTACAAAAGGGTCTGGGAGGAACAATGGTTGAGAAAAGGGTGAACTTGCGACATGAATAGCATACTTGTATGATTCAGCAGGAACATCAGCAAAGTAAGTCTCGACAAGCACATTCAATCCAGAAAGTGCAGATTCAAGTTCTGCGTATGCAGCAGAGAATGCAGCCAACTTGTTAGAATCAAGGTCGAGGACAAGAGTGGGCTCATCAAACTGAATCCATGAAGCCCCAGCTGACTTCAACTCAGCAATGACCTCCCTACAATCATCAAGCATCAAATTATCAACTGAAAACTCAAGGGCCAGCAGTAGCTAGTAACTTGTTTATAATCTTACTTGTAGACAGGGAGGATGCTGCTAAGAAGGGAAAGAAGAGGGAATCCCTTCTCCACACCCTTGGCAGGCTTTGAGAGCAACAGGTATGAGACTGGTCCAATAAGTACTGGCACGGTATCAACACCAAGCTGCATGAGGCGACAACATATAAGCCATACAAGCGAGTAGATGAAATCCTTGCAAGAAAAGGCACCTGTTTTCATATTTCAGAGTAAACAACACAAAAGAAATAATGCAACCGCTCTGTGTGCCCCACTGCTTATGGCATAGGAAAAATGAAAATACACTAAACTCCGAATCCTTTTCAGACAATCTCCAACAGAGCAAAATAAGAAAAACAAAACAACAAAAGCAAGATCAGACCAACTTGTCAGAGGCACAAACTCAGGAAACATTCTTACTGTAGCCTGAAATTGTCATTTTCATGAAGAAAGCCATTTTTGGTCAATGTGTCAACGCTCAAGTTCAAACAATGAACTAGAAAGCTCAAAAGTACCAAGTTTCTTTGCAACCAATTTGATCTGACAATATCACAATAACAAGCTTCCAAAATGTTACACCAATTAGGTATCTGGATGTACATCCCAGTTTCTGTGTTAATCCAAAATTACTAATTAAGTGCAGGATTAAAAATGAATGATCACTACTAGTTTGAGGTTCAATTAGCTGAAGGCAGCATGCTAAACTATCAAATGACTTTATCGGGTAATTATGAAGTCAAAAGAAATAGGAATGTATTAGCAACCATCAGACAATCAAGTACACAAGTAGGAAATTAACATTAGGAGAATAGGTTAGCACATTAAACTGAGATAACATAAATATAATGAGTGTATCGTACCGCCTTAGCCTCCTTGTATTCGTTAACAGCCTTGTGAGAAGCGTAGGAGAACTTGGTGTTAGGGCCCAATTCAGGGACAATAAAATGGCTGTAAAAGTAGAACAAAGTTTGTCAGCAAAAATATTAAATACAAAATCTGAAACTGAAATTACCATTAGTAACCATTAGTAGCAGGCAAAGGACTTACTAGTTGGTGTCGAACCACTTGGTCATCTCCATAGCAGGGACAGTGGCATTGCCCCTGGCCATGGAGAAGTAGGTGTCAAGCCCGATCTCTCCTCCAGTCCATGAGTAGCGCTCTGGGACAGCGCCGAGCATGGCGGTGGTGTCAAGGACCTGGTCGTAGTAGGAGAAGGTGTTGCTGGGGATGTACTTGATCCCAGCATCAGCCATCTGCTTCCAGATACTGGCCCTGAGGTCGGTAGCAACCTTCTCAAGATCCTCAGCAGTGGTCTTCCCATCCCAGAAAGACTCAAGGGCAAACTTGAGCTCCCTCTTGGGGCCCATGCGAGGGTATCCAACAATGTGGGACGCCATCTTTCTGTGCCGTAAACAGAATTACAATTAGAAATTAGAAATACCATGAGAACTTTTGTAACAGGGAACATGAATATGGATGAGAACAATATGATTAAGATCATGCTGATAAAAGAGCATATTGAAAATGTGATCTTGCAACACCGATCAGGCATCCATATTATACGTACAATTTAAGAATCGCTCCATGATAAACCCTTTGCCAATCAAAATGATAACTATGGACTCCATGTTCGTACTCGTATATTGCTGATAATCCAACAAAGACAGAATTGTGCCCATTATACCACTATGATGAATTTAGTATATCTAAGAAAACTCCTGAGTCGCATCAGATCCACTGGTTCCAAACCAGAATAAAACTAAACTATAGTCAAATTAAAGTTTCAATCAAGGAACAAAATATGTTTAGCATGTGTTTAGTTTGAACCCAAAATCTCAAAAAGTGCTACAGTACCTGTCACATCGAATGTTTGTGGCCCATGTATGGAGCATTAAATGTAGACGGAAAAAAAAACTAATTGCACAGTTTGGTGGGAAATTGCGAGACGAACGTTTTGAGCCTAATTAGTCCATGTTTGAACACTATTTGTCAAATAAAAACGAAAGTGCTGCGGTGGCCCAAAATCCCAAATTCATGAAACTAAACACGCGCTTATCCTAGTAGGTAGGTCAGATAGGTAAGGGGCATACCACCAACCTCCAACAGAAAGTAGGCCCAGTCCCGAGGGGTGGGTGCTTGCCAACTAGATACACTTGACCAAACTAATAATAATTGGTTACCAGTGGGTGGATAATAAAAATGCCTTGGATCTCGACAGAGGCGTGCGAACGGAGCGGAAAGCCAGTACTAGTCGTTGTCACTGAAGTCAACATGGACTAAACTATTCCACCTGTTTCCTCAAAAACATGGATTAAATAAACTAAACTAAACCCCGCAGATCCAAAAACCCCTGCGGGCGAAACGAACCACAGCAGCACCCGATCCGAACGGAAGTATCAGATCTAATCCCGACGCGAGCCAAGCGAGAATGAACCAGCTGCCCACTCTAATTGATCCATTGAATCGAGCAGAGCTCGGTCAGATCCAGAGCTCTGTTCGGGGTCGAGCCGAACAAACCCACCCGCATCACCAGTCCCACGACCGAACCCGGCCGGACCAACCGGATCAGGAGATAAATGGGCGGGCCAGCCCACCGCCGATCCCGGCAGCGTCACCAGGCCGATCGAGCGGCGCGCGGGGGCGGCCGGAAGCAGGGGATCGACCACGCACGTCCACACGGATCTCCCACGACACACAGCGCGAAAACACGAACAGGAACCCGAGCGAGGGGGCGCGCGGTTGCTTACCCGGCGACGGGAGCGGGGGAGACGGCGCGCTGCGGCGATGATAGGTGAGGAGAAGAGGAGGAGCACGGGAAAAGGAAGGGGTTTGGGAGGGCTTATTTATAATAATTTGGGTTCGTGTGGTTTTGGGGCGTGGTTGGTGAGATCTGACGGGAGGAGGGGGGTGTGGGGCCATCCATCTGGTGGCATAGGATTTTTTTTAGCGGAAATTTTTTTCTCCAGATACAGTAATTTTATTATTGTGGGAAAAGTTTCACTTTTCAACCTTCGGCTTAACCATATTATCCTTTACTGCCCTGCCATGTGATCGTAATTCTTCGTTTGAAAAAAATGCAGGATTAAAAAAAATACATAAATAGGAATGCATATGTAAGATAGAGGAATGAAAAACATAATAGGTGTTTGGTGAACTCTAAAAAAACAAAAAATGATGATGTTTGAGTGGATTTTTTTTTTGTGTTTTCATGTGAAATTGAACGCAAATGAAAGTTTCCTATGTTTTTTTCTACATACGATTCCTATAGACCAAATAATGCTACAGTAACTTAATTCATAAAAATGGGAATCCTAAGTTTTTCCTTTGCTTTTCCTACAATCCAAAGGAGGGTTCAATTCCTACAAAATTCTTATGTTTTTTATTTCTTTGATTTGCATATATATATTTCTACCTTATCAATGTGTTTTTTTAGTTCCTGCATTTCTTTACATCCAAAGGAGCCTTAGCTTCCAATAGAGCACATCTAAAATATAAGCCGGTCACTATTAGCTAGATTTATTTGGACCCAGCAACTTAAAGGTGCATGTATGGTTTCATCTGTAATATAATGCTCTTCCTCTTTTAGCCTGAATTAGGAAGACACGTAGACAAAGTAGGTAGGGGACAAAAGTGTCATTTGTCGATCTATAAGCTAGGTTAGGGCGCCTAGTAAGATAATTGTTAGCTTGGTGCCCAGCCAAGAGTTAGCTAGCCTATTAGTTGGGCCTCCTGAGATCCACTCTTTGAATTTTTAGCAAGTAATTATTAGCCAGGTGAATCCATCATCTCTCCTAGCTATGGCTTTAGAGCATCTCTAAGAGTTCCGAATAAAGCGTCCCAATCTAGGATTTTAGGTAAGAATATAAAAAACTCATCTTCAAGAGTTCACAATCCCACCTCCAATCTTTTGGCACTTGAAAAAAATCATCGAACGCGCGGATATATCCGCGCGTCTTCCACGCACATATCGGTCTGCCAATTTAAGGTGGAAGGGCGTGAGAAAGAATAAAGTAGGAAGGCATTCATGATGCAAATATATAAGAGAGAAAGAATATATAAAAGTGGTTAGGATAATTTAAAAATAATATAAGATTTCTGATGTAAAATTGTCTTCCATATTTTAGAAGTGAATTATTGAAAATTGTTGGAGATAGTCTTATTTATTCATCCCAATATTTTTTGGCAAGTTGGAAAACTCCATGGATTTGTGAAGAAATTCCTGGAAACTCATAGAGATGCTCTTATGTGGGTTCTATTTGGTTTTTCAGATTGGAGGGCCTGGCGGTTAAAAAAACAAAAACATTTTAGAATTACAATTTTAAATCATCCAAATTTTGTGACCTCCAAAGAAAAACTACCATAATTGTGACTTTCTCGCTCTCTAATCCACTGACATGGCGTTGTTCCTACTTTCTAGTGACCTCAAAACGAGCTGTTGACTTGAGATCATATGGTTTTTCTTCGACTAATAGTATGACGATCTCATGTTTATGCAATAATTTTGACCATAAACTTTATCGTTTCTCCGTCTTGAAGTCAGGCCCCGTTCGCTTCGCTGAAAAAACAAGCCAAAACATTGTTCTGGCTGATTTGGTGTGAGAGAAAAAATACTATTCCGGTTGAAAAAACAAACGAAAAATTACGGATTATAAGAGAAACAAACAGAGCCAATACATGAAGCAACCAATTATAGCTGGATATATGGCAATTTTAAAGATACTTGACCGTCGTATATATTTCTTTGCAAACGGTGGAATGGATCCGAACTCTTTTACTCATATGAACCCTTTTTGCGTGGTGCTCTTTGGTTTCCACTTCTTAGTGCGGATTAGGGGCAATTTGCCGGTATTGAGTAGTGTCAGTTCACCGTAAATTAGGCATGCTGCAGCAAACACATCATCATTACCTATTCTGAACCACTTTGACAGTGGACACCTCACACCTTGGCTGTGGCTGTTACATTAGCCGGCCTGTCAATAAGCTACGTGTGTATGCTATCACTCTAACGCACTCGTTCTTGCATTACTTATCTTCTACTCCGTTTGTTCCTGAATAAATAGATTTATATAATTATCTTTAGTCAAACTTTTTAAACTTTTACCAAATTCCTAGAAAAAACATTAAGATTTATGATATCAAATTAGTATCTTTAGATTTACCATAGATTATACTTTCATAAGATGTTTATTTTATGTCATAAATGTTGTTTCTCTTTTCTGTAAAGTTACTTAAACTTGAAATTTTTTTACTGGCACAAATTCTAGAAATTGATTTATTTGCGGATGTAGTGAGTAACTTTTATGTCTAAATTAGAGATCCCCACTAGACTAATTTCCTGTGGTTTTAGCAACAAGCCGCGTCATCTACGTGGCCCCACACTTCATCCGTTGAACGTAGGAACAGAACGGAGAAGCCTATCGGTCTTTTCTTTCCCACGATAGCATCCGTGTCCCGGGCTCTTCCCCTTCCCCTTCCCCTTCCCCTGCCATTGTCTCTCTCCTCCCTAGCATTCTTTGGTCGACATTGCGATCGTTTCGGCTACCCAGATCAAAATCTGTCGATACCTTCTGAAACCGTACATTCCAACACTTGATTTTCATCCTGCCTTATAAAACGCACCTAGGGTCTTCACAATGGCAAATCATTATCCAATGGGCTTTGTTGCGGTACCCCCAATGACTATGAGCCGTTTATTTATTTCGACCAGATGGTCATGATCACCTGTTACCTCCTAGATATCCCCTCCAAGATCGGTGGTAATAGATGAAATGCATATTTATTTAATTTTAATTTTATTATAAAATAGGATAAATATGGAAGGTTTTAGATATAAATTTTTTCTAGATTAGATTGATGCATGTGTGATTATAAAGTAAATCTTTTTTATTTTATAACTTTGTACTTGATATATTTTTATTACCATATAATTTTGTATGCAACTTTATACACTTGATTTTGCATGTCTACGTGATTACCCATGTGGGGATATGACCTCTGATGCCTAAAGGGCTGTATATGGGCCGAGCTGCTAGGGGAGGCCCAGCCCACAAGACCGCGCATGGGTCGCGCCACTGCTGGAGGCCCAACTTACAAGACGACGCCATGCGAAGCGCGGCGTAGGTCGGCGTGTCTCGCAAGACTGCGTGAAAATCCTCGGTGATCTAGGAAACCTGCTCGGATATGCTAGATCCCATAATATCTATAACTTCCTATCTTGTAAACCGATCAGGATAAAAACAACCGACCATTAACCCTACTAAAAAGGTCCTAATATGGCTAGAAGGGGGTTGAATAGCCTATTTAAAAAATCTACAAATCAACTAGAGCAATTTGATTAGTATAACAAATAGCGAAATACAAACTTGATCTACCTCTACAAGGGTTGCAAGCCACCTAT